GAATCATGGTCACAATACCGGATGATGATTTGATAAATGCGTATGTTCACGCATTATTGAGACGCCATTCCGGGATGAACACGCACGTCGAACGGACCACACCGTGTCGAAGCACGCGGTTAATAAAAACACCATCTAAATGACATTTTACATGATTTATGTAACTAACTTGTTTAGCTTAACCTATTATTATAATTAAGTAATAATATGGTTAAAGAACAATAATTCTTGATCATTATTTTTGTTGAATCTATATTTTTATGTAAATAAATTAAATAACTATAAATGGTATAAAATATAAAAATATTTGTACTGAAGTAGACTCTGTAAATATTCGTCTACCTGTACCACTGTTCAAACTCTCAGCTATTGGGGGGAAGGGGATTGGTAGTATTGGAGTCTAGTGTCCAATAATCATCATGGTAAATTGTTATTTGCCAATTTGGGCTAATTAACCTGACTTCATGCCCATCTTATCATCCTCCACTGGAGCCCCACACATGATCCATAAAAAAACTCTCAACTAGTTCAGCCGCCAACAGTTTGCTGTTAAATTTACTTACCACCCCTGTATACATATAGTCGGCAAAATAAAGAGGTTCATTGTATGCCTTGTATGCTGTTTCCGGTGAAGGGTGGAAATAAAGTTAGAGCATATGAAGGAAGAGCATTTTCGTCTTCTGGGATGGTAAAGTAAGTTGTCCAATTACATTAAAAGAATATTATAGATATATACTAATAATATTATAGATAATACTAATATAGAATAGATAAATACTAATATTGTAGTAAGTAAATATATAGGTACCCTGATGAGTTGATGAACTAATTTACCGGTAATAACTCCCAACTACTATAAGTCTGTACTAATACCTATTGGCAACATTTATCTACCATCTTAAATTAAATTACATTTTGCTTTAATGTTTATCTGTTTGTATTATTATCAAAGAGCAGACGGGAGTTCATTCTCGTTACGGCCGCCCGCAAACGAGCTGTCTCCCAACCAACGACTGTCACCTTCAATTACGGGCGCAATGACACTTTCGCGCGCTTGCTTTTGAATTTAGAACGTAATGTAGTTTTTTTTAGAAATATTTGGTCGCGGTATTCAAGTTTAAATCTATAAGACTAAAATCTAGAAGAGAAGTGAAACTACAAATCAGTATATTTAATGATATTGTATAACTATGTATGTTAATGTATATATATAACTTACGAGTATATATCCTAAAATGTACCTAATCAACTGACTTAAGTATAAGTAGGTAGGTATATCAAAGTTATATTTTTATTCAATGTTAGTATTTGGTTTTACCTAAGAACAAAGACTAAAGCTAGGTACTTAGGTCTTTCCTTTATCCTTACCTACAGTCCTACAGTTACTTAATTCTGTTATTATTCTTTGAGCAATTACACTTTGTCACAAGAATAATTCATGAATAATTTAAATTAATTTATACTCTATTACATAGACATAAAATGCGTAATTGTAAAGCATAAAGATTTTTTTTATTTCATTTTTAAGTTTCTCTGACATTTTAATACCATAATTTGTATGCGTGTCAATAATAAATATAAACTGAGATGCTATCGTAAGTACATACTTACGATAGCATCTCAGTTTTTTAAGCAATAGGCGGAACACAAAAACTTCGAACTTAATGGAGAAAAGAAGAGAAAAAAGATGCGAAGAAAATTAAGAATAATATATCTAATATTTACAATGACTCCGGACTACTACATAACAATTTACTACTCTGTGGCACGATTGGTGTATAATTCGTAGGTACGATCTGTCGCCTGTGTACGGGTTTTTCATGATTTTACAGTAATTCAAAGCGACGGGTCGCGCGTTCTATTCCCGGCGCGACACGGTACGGGATAGTTGGCTTGAACGGCGGATGTTTAAGAATTTACAATATTCAGAGATCATTTGGAACTTTGATGTCTATTTCATATTTGAAAATTATAATTGAATTATATATTATAAATGGTTACATCTTCTTTTTTATTGCTTTTATAATTGAATACAGCTGAATAACGAGAACAAAATATTAGATATTGAGTAAAAATTTAGTTTTTTTTTTTAATTGGTATGGAATGACGGTCGAGGACGCAGGGTGATTATATTTGGTATTCATTATAAAAATAGGTTTAGTTCACAAACCTTACATTTTTAAGGTAGATATTCTTCAAAACCATAATAATATATTTACCTGTTCCTGCCGCCAAGCAGCTTGTGTTGTTAGCTGTGCTTTGGGTGATGAGTGAGATATGGCAATAAAGTCACAGCGTAGGTAAGATTAATAGATAGAATTTACTTTATTTGTTACATACGGCAAAGAAAAGACTAAATAATATATTAAAGATATTAAATAACCCATGTTTAATTACAACATTCTTTTCAAAAGAATAGCCGGCATGATTGATACTACCTAATGTTTGTGGTGCTGTTCATGTGTATATATATAATTCTCTCTCTGATTTGTACGGATGTTAGTTACTAAAATATTACTTACTTGTTTTATTAATTAAATAAAAGTTCTATCATAATTACTGCGTTTAAATATAAACATCAGGTTATGGGCCCAGTTCCACTGTATATATATATACATAATATATATATATATAGTACGAGTATCAATCATGCCGGCTATTCTTCCTTAATTCCTCTTCCACTTATACATATTAAAAAAAATATCTACACTTTCTCAAATTAGGTATTATTACGTATTTTACCTTCAATTAATTACATAACATGTAAATACAAAAACTATAGTATTAAATTATAGAACAAAAAATGCGTTTTATTTAATTTCTACATTAAATTGGACTTCCAGAAACTAACACTATTGCATTTATGTAATATGTTAGCCACTTACGGATGTCATGCTCTGCCACCTTATGTACCACTCTACTTGGTCGAAAAAAATATTTTTTACCCCAATTATACACCTATTTAGCAGCATAAAAATGCATATAGCATTAAACAAATCATCAAATACGAACGTAAGTGTATGTTGCCGCGTACAGATACCTATCAATGTCTGGCAACCAGCCTACTTGTTAATTTTATGCAATAATAAGAATGGACAGCATTTTTGGCGGGGTGTTGATGATACTCGTATAACAATCCTTATAGAATGCAATTGGATGTGACAGTAACATATAGATAACGTATCAACTAGTTTTAATACCTAAATAATAGTCAGTATATAATATTTAATGCCTTTTCTATGTTAATATTTAAAAAAATATACAACTAAGTATTTCTTTTACTCCTGTACGAATAAATGTTATGACTAATTGGGGATTCCATCTGAATGTGATCTCCGTGGCTTACCTTACTTACCACAGTGAGAGACACTGGAAAACTTGTGTTAGTAAAAATGAGAAAACGTGTATTGTATCACAGTTCGGTATAGATTGGTACATGTTGCATAAAAGTCTATAAGAACTTCAGCTATGATTTTCTGTTTAAAATGGTTAAAAGACAAATGGCAGATTAATTCAAATTCAAAATAAACTTTCAGCCTTTTTAATCATTGAAAAAATATTTTACGCTTAAAATTAATTACATTATATAAATTGTTAGGTATTGTTAATCTTGCTAATATTTATAATTAATAAACGCGATAGTCTGTGAGTATGGACGGATGCATGATTGGATGTTTGTTATTCTTTCGCACAAAAACTACTGAAAGGTTTTGATGAACCTTTCAGTAATATAGTTTATACATCAGAATAACACATTTTTTTAGATATTATATAAATTGTGCGAAATATAATGATAAATGTCAAGTTGGTGTGCTACAAACAAAGTTGCGAGGATCAATAAGTATAAAAATACATACCTAGTGATTAACAAGCTGTGACTTGTATTAAAAAGAAAAAAATTGCATGTACGATAAACTAAAAGACTACCTCAAACATGTACATCTCCATCTGTAGATATAATTACCTTACTTTTATTGTAGGTAAAATAATTTCATTTCAGTAGCAATTATTTTAGCCGCCAAACACATTACTTTGTATGCTCGGTTTCGGTGATATAGTGAAGAGTAGGGAGGTATATATAAATGAGGTATGACATCTCAGTCTTCTGGAATGGCAACGCGTGAGTTGTATCGGGGATTCATAATGTTACCGTCGTGACAGCTTACCATCAGGTGGGCAGTCAGCTTGTTTTCCAACAAACACGTAAAAAAATGATGTTATAAGCAAACAGCCAGAAACATTTTCGTATTTCCGCGACTTCGTCTGCACAAATAGATTAGATAGATTTTTAGATTATAGATTGCCTATTTCTGTCTGCATAATGCATTTTATCTATATCTATCCATTTAGGCATATACCTAGCTATGAAAATGTAATAAACAGACACATAGAGACACTTTAGCACTTAGGTATAACATTTACTTATTTGTACTTATGGAGTTAATTTTAAAATATAAATTAAAATATGAAAATACTTTCGAAGACTTCTCGATTTTTCGTGGTTAATTTAGTGAATCGGCCGTAAAAAATACTAGTATCCACATCCGTACCACAGAACATAAACTTTTCAAATCCAATTACTTAAAGACTTTATATTAATTATCTACTCTGTGTTCTATAAATAATACATGTTGACGTGTCAATTATTGCTTGAAATCACTTCCCTCCAAAAACTTTTTTTTTAACACAGGCGGTCTAAGGAAAGCCACGCCTTGTGATCTAAATAAGAACCAGATGAAACACCTCTTGCCATAGCTTTGAATTATTATAAACCTTATCCTTAATGCTCATAAGATATAATTTTATTAAGCAACATGCTAATAAAATGTGTAGTCGAAAATTATCAAATTTGGAACTTGAGGACATAAAAACAGAGTTCAAATAGTAACTTCTTTCATTATAGTGGGTGTGATCAGAGAGGTTTACAAGATATTTTTTAGTAACCATACATGTATTAGGGATGGCGTAGCAGAGAAGCCAGATCACTGCACAGACTCCATTAGTTCGCACATTAGGCGAGTTAGTCGAATTATATAATTAAATAAAGTAATTCAATAAGTTAGTGGATTAATAATAAATTATTTGCGGTGCTTGGTTGGATTGGAGATTGAATGGACAAGTCCATATTTTTTTTTAATGAAAAGTGACAGTGCTAGGAAAATTCAAGATTCCATGTTTTATTTTTAAGGAATGGATCAGACCAAAGGTATGTTGGTTTATTTTAATTAAAAGATCTATTAAAATTTTACTATTGTTGCCTAGTAGATGCTTTGTTACTTTTTTATAAAATCATTAAACAATGCTGAAGAAAAGAACATAACAGTTTAATAGTTAAAATGTACCTATATTAGACAACATGTCTATGTTTTTTATTAATTAGAGCAGTGGGTTGTTAATTTCTAAATATATCTCGTAACATTTGAAGATAAAATAGTTATTTACTGATGTAATTAAAAAAAATATATTTGCATAGTTTAGTTGTAGATACTGAGTTGATATTTTTATATACAAAACACTAATATCTGTGAAATATTTCGCTTCAGAAAGTTCTGTATTAACCAAACCCTACCTTATATCTCCTACATGTTAGGTTCATTGTCTTTTAAGATACTAGGTTTATGTAGGGAGGTAGGCAGATATATTTGCTAACACGAAATTTAAAAGTAACTTAATACATTTTGTTATGTCAGCAAGCCTAGTGCAATAGGATTTTAGTCTTTATGGTCATCATTGTAATAATCATTTACGGAATAGTACCAATGTAAATAATATAAAATTGTAAATATTGTTTAATTCAATTGGTAAATTATTAAATAATTTTACTGATTGGTGTAGGTAATGCCTTTTTCCATATATATGCTTACATGAACAGCACCATGGACATCACGTTACGGCGACCAGTATTCGTGTATGATTTACTTTGTATCTTATGCATAAATGATATTGTTTAATACTTGATTATTTTGTAAATGAACTATTAATTGGTAATAATAATTAAGAAGAAATATAATTCACGGGAAAAATTAAAATAGATAATAATAATAATGATAATCATTACCTATTTTATAATTGTCATTGCTTCGTGACTTTTATACTCAAAGACAATTCTATCACTCCATCAAAACGGACACAGCATATCTGGTGGGAAGCTAAGCAAAGCTTCTGTTATAAGGATATTAGATCATTTATACAGATAGATACTGAAATACATTTTTTCAATATAAAAAATCATAGTCATGAATACAAACGTTTGAATCGTGCTAGGAATAGAACCGTAAGCATCGGAAGTAATGTATTGTGCTAAACCGCTAGATCACAGAGGCCGTTATTGAAATGTATTATTTTATTCAGAGCTTTTATATATATATGACACCAGTACGAGAAAAGAGATAATAACAGAATATCTAATATATCTGTAATGATTAGAGATTACTTTACGATATACAACATTTAAATACACCACAGTCCTCCTACGCAAAGGTATATAGATATGTATGTATAGTTATATACAGGGTATAATTATCTACACCTTTATATAATTAGTTAAGGGTCGACAACACGCACGTGACACTATGGTGTTTCAGGCGTCCTACCTACATACCTAGTATAAAAAAACCTATCGATGAAAACACGAATACCTATAATATACAACCGCACCTCCAAGACTATTCCCATTATCTCTGAAGTCTAACGTCTAATCAAGGTTCGAATCTACACTGCTTGGAGGTTAATTGTTAAAATAGCCACTTTATGTGAATCATACTTGGAAGTAAGTATCTACTGGAAATAGGTACCTAATACTTTCCAAGTTCTTTATATCTGTTACCTGTAAATCACATAAATTTTCGGTAAATACTAGCGCAATTTTGATAATACAAAACTAAGTTTTGTAATAATTATAAATGAAACTCATTGAATTGGAAATAGCGTTTAAAATATTTAATTCATCTGAACAAGATAAAATATTAAATCAGGTTTAACTTTATTGCAAATCTTAGTTTCATATTTTATAATATTTAATAACGAAGGTTAATTCATACTTTACTTTAGGAAATAGGTTTTTAAATTTAACGCGATGTAGGTATTATTTAAACCAGTAGGTAACATTTACCTAACAAAACTTGGCTGGTATATATGAAAAGATTCACATTGTAATGGAAGATGGAATTAATGATATGACTCATTTAAAGTGGCTATTTTAACCACCCAGACCTTCGCATAAACCATTCCCACGTGTGTGGAAGCCGATAGTGTTGCGCGTACGCCGATCGCCGCTACCAATTACAATGCGCCACACAGAGCACCCGCCGGTGCGTGAGTCGCATGACACATGCTGAACCCAGTATATTACCAGAGGCGGACCTACCAAAGGGCTTGTTGAGGTGCAGCCTAGGGCCCCCAGCCCCAATTGAAAACTAGTATATATATTTAATTTAAAAAAATACCTATCATAAGGTTGGCAACACTGAGATCAATCAACCCATGCATGTGTGCTTGAATTGAACGGAACGGGAAATTCCCCATCGCTTGTTTTATGGTTCGTGTATTATTTTATTATAAAATCAGCTATAAAAAAAATATATAATTAGGTTGGTCCTTAAGTAGTTTTATCCCATAGCTCCTGTTATTTACCCAGTGTGACCTATGTCTTGCACTATGCCTGACTGTACAATAAGTCTCGATACTAAAGCATTATTTTTCAGTTTAAGTTACAAATTGCAGAAAGTACAGAAAATAATGGAAAATGTTAAACAAAATAGAACATACAATGGATTTTTATTTTAAAATAAAATATCTCATAATTATTTTTTTGTATATGAAAGACATGCAGATTGTTTCTAAAATACGGGACTGCCTACCCAAATTGTAATATTACATTTCCTAATGAACCCAATATTTTGCTTATGTAAATTTTCATTTCTTTTGTTTACAGAAACCCTTAATGGAAGACAAGACTCACTCGCAAAAACTTATGAGACTAAACAACAACACCAAATTAATTATAATGTAAATACACCAAATTACACGGACAACCACAATCTATTTCAAATGATAAAGTGTCATGAAGACAGCTTATTACGACTACATCATTTAACAACCAGTCGGCAAATGAACAGTAACTATGAACCCACATACCAAAACGATTTAGCTTGGTACCCAAAAGATCTCCAACGGCAGTACATAAAACCTGTCGAATATTTAGCTTACGAGGACATGAGAAGAAAATACGACGACGCCAAGGTTGCGAAAGAGAAGGAAGTCCAGAAAGAATCAGAAGAAGAGAGAGAAGGGAAAGGAGATGACAGAAAGAAGCCTAGGCGTAACAGAACCACGTTTACGAGCCAACAGTTAGCAGCTTTAGAAAAGGTTTTTGAAAAAACACATTACCCAGATGCTTTTGTAAGAGAAGATTTGGCGTCCAGAGTAAATTTAACAGAGGCAAGAGTACAGGTAAATATACAAGAATTAAATTTATGAAGCAATACAAGATTAAATTAGTGTAAATCCTAAGTCTAACATTAGTAGGGTCTGTGGCATTAAGAACTTTTAATTTTCCACTGAATTAAAAATGGCTAAAAAATTAATTATTTTGGTGTAAGTTTACCTATTATATAATAAATTTGATTGACTAACAGATGGGTCAATAGATCATTACAAACAATCAATCCTCTGCTCTCGTTATAATTTAGTATGACTACACTATTTTTTTTTTAGATTATCCCATGATGATATTTTTTTAATATTATTGTTCTGCTATTTGTTTTGTTGCAGGTTTGGTTTCAAAATAGACGCGCAAAATTTCGCAGGAATGAAAGATCTGCGCTATCAAACCATAGAAGCTCAGCGAGTCAGAGTTCTCCAGAACCAGTCCCAGTGCCCATAGGGATTCCACATCAAATGGACAGTAGGCAAGACTTCACTCGGAATACAAAGGAACCTTGGCTGCATCATTTCCAAACGAACAATTTGAATTTGAACCTAGGCATTCCTATCACAAATTCTGGGCTCTACCAAAACGATTATTCTCTGATGATGCAAAATGTAGGCAACAGACAATACATGTCGAACTCAAATACTTTAATGGGACAAGGCATGGTCAATTATAATGGAGCAACTGATAATGGATATGGATCATGTGCATTAATTGGTGGTTACAGTGGTCCGTTGCAGCCGGCACATCACAGTTCTTACAACTTAAATTTAAGATTAAGACCACATGATTTTAGTATTAACAATATAACTTTATGAGATATAAAGACAATATATAGATATGTACATATTACTATTGTTATTAAACATACGTATCATACAATTATGTTTTATTCTAGTCTCCTTGATTGTTTCTAAAACTTAAATATTGGTGATCTATAAATTTCTAGTGTTTAGATTAAAAGTAAATTTTATGATTTCTTAATTCTGGGTTAGTCGGCTTTGTATTTTATTTTGTTAAAAACTCGAAATAGCCTATAACAGGTATTAAAAAAATATTTTCTTTTCAAAATGCTTACTCGCAAAGTAAATTTAATTTCACTGGTTTTCGATACATAAAAAATACGCAAATAGTGAAGCTATTTGATATATAAATTTCGAACTGGCCGCCGCGCCGGGTGTCGCCAGAAGACAGGCAGCGCGTTGAATTAAAAAAATTAAGACTGCTTTTTCATAAATATATTTATGCAGCCTTATTTTTGTATTTATTTATTTTATTAATTATTTTAATCATTTAGTAGATATTCTGTACTCTAAATCCATTATATTATTTATTTATATGTCATAACTATTGACTAGGCTGTATGGGCAATGCTCTTTGCCTGTCCACATTGGACGAATTTTAAAACAACAACGTTATTTATATGTCAATGTCAAAACTAATGTCAATGTTACGATGTCACTTGTCACTGCTAACAGTTTTGAATTTGTATTGTTTTAATAAATTTTTAAAACATATTCAAAACTACTTTTATTATTACTTGTTTCTAGTTTATTAGTAAAAGATTTTGCTTATAAAAGTAATGTTATCTAAAAGCAGTGGCACATTATTCTTATTATGTATTTCTATAGCTTTTACTTCGCATCTCGTTTACAAATATTATAGAAAAAAGAAGAAAAATGAAAAACGTGAAATTCACGAAGTTATTATTTTCTCAAGTGGCATGGGCGAGTTGAAGAAAAGCAAATACTCTCGTTGTATGATAACCGAAAGTATGGACCGGTTGTTATATTACTTAAATACACCTCAACATACTGTAGACATATGTATGTATGTTCTGACTAATATAGATATAACAAATGCAGTCCTAAAGCTGCATTTTAGAGGTGTTAAGGTTAGATTAATAATTGATGCTGATATGGCATTTTGTTCTGGTTCTAATGTGAGAAGATTTGAGAAGCAAGGGATACCAGTACGTTGGATGAAATCATGCAATTTAATGCACCATAAATTTGTTTTAATTGATACATTAAGTGAAAATGATAACACAGTACCACTACTTATAATGGGGTCCTTAAATTGGACGAATCAAGCATTGTGTGGTAATTGGGAAGCTGTGGCGGTAACTTCACAGACAGAACTGGTGCGGCAGTACAGGGAAGAATTTGAAAGACTCTGGATATTATTTAAGCCTGTACTCCTTTGAATAATTGATATTAATGAGGAAGGATAGCAATTATAATATAGCATGTAAGAGAACTAATATGGCAGACATCCCACATATATGTTACAAGTAACTTGTGAAGATGTTGCAGTTATAGCATCTTATGGTATTCATAGTTTCAGTATTTTCAGTAATTTCTTTAGTATTACTTTTATTTTTTTATTAGTTGTCTGTTTGGATATTCCTTATGGGCCTATTTGTTTACTCTTTTTTTATGTAACATTTATTGAAATAATTTTGGTGCTGCACAATGTTTAGGATATCTTAGGAATGAACCTTATTAAAAGATCTTTTGTATAGTCTACATTTTAAAAGAAAAAATTGTTTTATATTTTTTGATATTCTAAACTAGTTCAAGTCAACTGGTTCAAGAAATAAAAATGATATATTTTTATATCTTCCAACCTATTATATAATATTTGTTATTACTATCCCTACTGCCCAGTTTGAGTAGCCACTTTAGTTGAGAACTGTCAAGATACTCAATTGATACATTTTATATTTTAAGTATGATTTATTAAACAGATTAAGTCTTTAAACAAATATAGTGTTTAAGTATATGTCTCACATATGTTAAGTATAAAAAATCTCATTTGAACAACTAATGCCATACAAGGTTGCTGTATAAATTTCTCTTAATAATAAACGCTGACCTATAATATTTTTTAAAGTACTTTTATTGGTATAAGTTTGTAAAACTAATATCTAAGTTTGTAAAATTTTCCTAACAACTTTTATGTATTAAATTTTAATTTTGTCTGGAACAAATATAAGTTTTAGGATTTCGGATACTGTATATATCATTTTATATGTAACTAATAATTAATATAAGGTAAATATGTTCATATTTAAATAAAGTAATAGAAACTTAATACAACAAATGATAAAGTTCAGTATTAATTTCATTACTACATTGATTAAAACTGTAAAACATATTTTTATGACTATTATTTAACTACTTTCCCTTATAACCCTTATAAACACATTTAATTTGAATTTAAGGTAATAAAGACATCATTATTGTAATTGATTTTGTTATGTTAAAAATCGGTTAATTATGATGACCTAGAAAATAAAAGAACTCCTCTGGGAATATTGAGGTTGCGGAAAAAAAAAGATTATTATCCTGTGTAGTATAATAATCTTTTTTTTTTTTTTATCAGGGTTGCCAATCACACAGAAAATTTTTGTGATGTTGGCAACCCTGACGCACGTTTTTTTTTACACGCTTAAATCTCATGAATACTCACGATAAGCTGATAAGAGTTCAAAGTCAAATGCTGATCGTGTTATTATAATTCGCGTTCCAGCAACTGTCTATAGAGTTACATATTTAATCCTCTAGCAGTCGGCTACAAATAGCAATAATGTCTACTGGAATCGTAGCTGGAAGATTGGCTCTGGTAACTGGTATGTTTTTTTTATTTATTTTAGTTAATAAGATTTATATATGCAATTTAATTTATAAAGTAACTATAAAGTCATAATTTAAGTATGTGTATTATATCTACATAAGTAATATAAGTATTATGACATGCAGGTTATATTACATCCTACTTTGTTGGATTTATAATTGAACTGTGGACGTTACAAATAAATAAACAATCACACTTTATTTAAGTTAAAAATATCATGCCATTATGATCATTAAATCCTTAATAAGTTTATTAATTTGTGGCTACATTGTACAACAATTTAATAGAAAAATAGTTATTATAGAATTAAGAAATATTTATATAAATTTCTTCTCAATAATATTAGATTGGTTTAACATAGACAAGTATTATCCCTGTTGGGGTGGGTAAGCAGGGAAATTCTCGTTTTTTTTGGAAATTGTTGTTGTCCAAACAACACTTCATATCATCACATTCTTATGGTAATATTTGAATCCAACATGACAGGTTGAGCTGCTAATATTTGGATTAATTATCTGTTTCTTTTTTTTTCTTTCACTGGAAATTTAATCTGAAATATAAATTAATTTTTTCAGTGTTCTTAAATACTATAGTTTGACATAAAATTTGTGTTATAATATTATGTGAGTATAATGTAAATGTCATAATGTTTGTAGGTGCTGGCTCTGGAATTGGCCGTGCAGCATGCCAGGTGCTCTCCCGTGAAGGTGCCACAGTCATAGCTGCAGACAAAAATTATGAGGCAGCTGTTGAAACAATCAAAACTCATACAGCTTTAGCCAGCGGTGCAAATGGTAATAGTTTTTTTCTGAACAATCTTGTGGTATTATAGATAGGATATATATAGATATATATATATAGATGGGAAATGACTTTATTCCAAACTTGTGTAGTTAATTCCATTTTAAAATTGGAATTATGTAGGAAAAAGTTGAAATTGCAAAAAAATGCAATTCTCAAAAGCATAAGAGTGTTTTTTGTAAGGATGAATATGGAATGGTGCTGCTGCCTATATTTTTGGGATATGCTGGTTGGTCACCAGTTGAAAATGACAGGTTATTATAAAATAAAGTCACTTAGCCGACTATAGTCAATTCCTCTGAAATTAATCTGTGAAAGGATTGAGGAGAGACCAAGTGGAGCTTGATTTGCTATATTGGTAGCAAAGCTCCTACTAGTCCACAATACTAGTGAATGTTTCTGATCTTAAGTAACATTATTTAGGAACCATATTGCTAGCAATGTACCATATCTGATCAACCTGCATGAACACTATCAAATTCCTGCAGAGTTTGCAAATATTCAGTTAGCCCAATTGACCCGACTTTATACTCATTCATTTCATACTCATTCTGTCAACCAATAGTAATATAGGCCATTGACTTCCATTAAAATTCCCACAAAGGTGTGGAAGCTAACCAAGGCTCTTCTTGCTTGCTTGTTTCTTATTTTCTTATGCTGTATGAAATATTTGTTGACATCAATTTTATTTCAGCTATAGGAGATCATTCTGCGGTTGAACTAGATGTGTCCAACTCCAATGCAGTACAGGAATTATTAAAAACTACTTTGAAACAGTATAAGGGACCTCCTACAATAATTGTTAACTCTGCTGGCATCACAAGAGACAATTGGCTTTTGAAAATGTCTGAAGACGACTACAGCACTGTGCTTGATGTCAATTTAAAGGTAAATTTTAGAAAGTTGTATCTTGGTCTCACCTATATTAACCGCAAAGCATTGCTTTGCGCATTTTTTTGAATGTCCAATTAGGCAGTGTGTACAGAATAAGAGGCATGTCATCTTTGTTCTCTAAAAACTCATGAGTATTATCATGAGTGTCACATGATAATACGATATTCTTAGAGCTGTTCATGTACATAGCTTACCATTATGAAGGCCGTCAGATTATTTCCGATTTCACATACATAAAAATAAGTATACATAATGTTAGCAAGACTGTTTTGTCAATGAAAGAAAAATTATTCATTAATACATTTGTTTGTTTACACAACATAAACTTGGTTGGGATGTTGCAAATGCAGTGGTAAGTACACTTTAGTCAATTATTTAGAATACATTCATTCATAAAAAAAATTACGTAACTTTTAACAATGGTAGTTGCAGGCGATATGTAAATGTTTTAAGAAATTATTATTAATATAAATTATATATTCATCTGCCAAGAAAGCAGGTGATTATGAAATATTATAGTATGTTTGTACATTATTTTTATTTATTTATTTAATTCAGGCTACATGATGGCCCATATTATAAATGCCTTATAGACTAACATACATAAGAAATAATAATAAAATATGTAAATAAAATTGTCTCTATGGTCACGGCACTATGTTATTATGTTAAACACGTTTGCTTTACATATACAGAAACTCACTGTTTCTTTAAAAACATGTACTTTAATTTGTTTTCAAACTATACTTATTTATTATAACTTCAAATGCAAATGAGGTGTGCTCAGAGTTTTTCTCCACAATAGATAAAAATTTCTATTATACAACTTTATTCATATTCAAGTTATGAAAAGAAAGTTAACTAGGTATATATCACATAGAAATAAGGTGGGAATTAATATTTTTTTAATATTTCATATTAAATTGATCTCTTTTTGGAGAAAGTTTTTCACTTTCATGAATACTATTACTGTCTTTCGGCTTGCTATATCTTTTACGATTGTGTATAATTTACAAAATTAAAAAGTTGTATAATTTTTGTTTTTTATATTGTTCAGGGTACGTTCCTGGTGATGCAAGCTTGTGCAAAAGCATTAACTGAAGCGTCACTGCCTGGATCAATTATTAATATATCGAGTATAGTCGGAAAATATGGGAATATGGGTATGTATTTACAAAATTCTTCTTATTTTTTATATCCTGTTTTCGGCTTTTATTTCTTGTTCCATTTTTCAAATATTGAAGTAATTATACAACACCTAAAGAAGTGTTGTCATAACATTATATCTTAATTTATAGACCTTAATGGTCCTGATTTCGGGTTTGAGTTAATTTTTTTTTATTGCAGGACAAACTAATTACGCTGGAAGTAAAGCTGGAGTGGTAGGAATGTCGCAGTCGGCCGCTAAGGAATTGGGAAAATTTAATATAAGGTAAATGATAAAATATTTATTGTCTCTAGTTATTTAAAGATTATCCTGACTTAAGTATCGTCAATAAATATAGGTTTGGTTTTAATACCCTATATTTATATACAAATAAGCGTTTTAGAAGCGACGAAGACATCGGATAATATACATACTGAAAAAATATACCCTTGAATTGAGAAATGTTTCGTTAGCAATTTTTTAAATAGTAGTAAAATAGTTTGTGGTTAAACATTACGGTTTTGTTTTCAGAGTAAATGCTGTTCTACCGGGTTTCATAGACACGCCAATAATTAAAACTGTTCCAGATAAAGTTATGCAAGGCCTCTTGAAACTAGTGCCATTGGGGAGGGTGGGCAATCCAATTGGTAAATACTTATTTATTATTTCATCCGCGTAATTACTATATAACTTCTCTATCTTATCTATTGGCATATATACAATGTATTATGTTATCAAAAATATGTTCATATCTGCATTTTACAGCCTCAATACACAACCGACAATCGACATTAATCTAACTTTGATCTCATATCTGTTTCTGATAAAATCATATTAGAACTTAAGACTTTGGTCCCTTAGGTTTTTTTACTACCAAGATATGATATATAAAATTAATAAACGAAAATGCACCATTAGTTTCAACGCTTATGCAGACATCCTACCTTTCGACCGAAACATAGCTTACAAAGCAAATTAATTGGTGGACGCAGGAGACTTCTATAAAGTCTATTTCGGTAAAACTATTATTTTTGTTAATAGAAATAAAATAATAATTTAGCATAATTTACTCAGCAGCAGTTAGTCCCAAGCGGTTGGTGCTTGTGTTAAACTGTAAATTGTTGTAGTAAACAACGGTTTATTAAATACATTTTTATGTAAATACATACATAATATATATAGAAAACCCAGAGCAATACAAACATTCATGCACATGATAACAATTCTTTTGATACTTCTTTGTTGATCGAACACAAGAATATAACGTCTATGGTAGTTCTTTTTTTTATAGGATGATAATGGAATGGTGCACCCGCCTGCTTTAACGCTTTACCGTGGCTGGGCACCAGAGGAGGATGATTATGAGGTCAGGTCAGTTAGCCCATCGTGGCAAATTCACACACGGAATTTGAAACAATAGTTACAGGTCAACATGACGTACATTGTTAGCAATGGGGTACTAGTCCACATTGTTAACAATTCTCTTTCTCCCGTATCCCTATGGTAGTATATGTTATAAAAATATTATTTTAATTTCAGAGGTGGCTGAAGTGATAGCGTTCTTGAGTTCCGATAAAAGTTCCTTCATCACGGGCGCTGCGATCGACGTCACAGGAGGATATTAGTTAAGAAAATTAACTTAATTGGATATAAAAAACAGTTGTACTAGTCCTGTTCACACTAAATTGTTATGATTTTGTATTTATGTTATGGTGCTAGACGTCTAGATAAGAAGAGACATTACTTAAAAAATGTTAATAGAAAATAAGGAAATGGTGAAAAAGTTTAATGGATGGAATATATGTTTATTATGAAAATAGATTCTGATAGTAAGTTAGTAGTGTTCAACTTCGAGCGTAATCTTACTTGTTTATTTATTGTGCTTAATTATATAGATAGGTTGTTTTAATCTATCTACTGATACATATACTTTATGATGTGGGTGCAGTTAGTTTATTATAGCATTTATAATCAGGGGTTAATTATAAATTATGTGACGTTCAGGGGGTAAAAAACGTCAAATGAGTATATAAAGCGTGACAAGGAGGTGGAAGTGAATGGTCCTAAATTTCAAGATGTATATAATATATCTTGTACATAATAAAACAAGTGAAATATTAATGAAAATAGTTAAAATTTCAAAATATGTCACATATTTTGATAAACTAACTAATAAATAATAAAACTGAACAGTCTAGGTGCGTGCGTTCTCAGCATTAACCTAACCTTTGATAATTTAAATAATATGAAAAGAAACACTGGTGAGTTTTGTATAAAAACAATAATTAATCGCCCCCTCAGAATATCGAATCGAATAAGAACAGTTTATTTATTAATGTTGTATTATAAGCAGAAATATATTTAACTTGGGGCCAGACATGTATAATACCATACTCTGATCGAACACAATCTTGCACCTGTGATATTTTTAAACAATGTTGTAAAATGTTTGTTGTTAATATAATAATGTAAAAATATTATATACCTGTTGTCCTTTACACACCTTATGATCAGTTTACTTGAATTTGTTAAAAAATAAATATTATCACAAATTTCGTTATCATTTTCTTTTCATTTAAAAGTTTACTGTTTATAATTTTTCCATAAATCGCATAAAAATAAAAACAATACCCTTTGAATTAAGTGTTAACACAAATTTCAATATATTTAAATATATAGGTATTTTCGTAATTCGTAAATGTGTAGAAGATATCTCAAACTATCGAAATAAAAAAAATGATACTGTAATATCATATCAGCAAACCAGTTCTCGCACCCTTATCGACGCTATTTCGACGGTTCGTAATCAATTAAATGCAATCAATTCAAAATTAAGCTGCATACTACTTAAATGGTACTGTAATGGAATGTACTAAGTTTTTATGACAATTATTTGTACCTTTATAACTTGTTTGTAAGCCCATCAACTGCTTCTTCCTTATCCCATTCATCCCTGTTATCAGTTAATATTTCTGAAGTGATTGGAAATAATTAAATATTAAAGGAAGATCAACATAATACAATAATTAAGTTGTGGTGGAAATATAATATGTGGATAAAAATAAAAAAATCCATAAACAATAAAGAACTATATTAACTAACTCTGCACCTTTTTCTTTGCTTTTAACTTATTCTTTTTAAGTTCTGCTTTATTTTTTTGTCTCTTATCCTTCATGAAGGTTTTATATTCAGATTTTCTCTTTTCATCTATAATATTTTTATACTTTTTCTTGTTGTATTTCTGGAATTCTGCATCGGCTAATAATTCATCAACCATTGTTCTCTTTCTTTGTTTTTTGGTCAACCTCTCATTGACATGGTCCAAGGGAGAATCCATTATTCTACCAACCTGAAAAAGATATAAATTTAGAGAGAAGATAATTGATTGATTTCTTATTGTAATAGTTACAATATAAATATAAGTTTAAAAAAAAATTAACACATAATTAACAAGTCACATGGACTGTATTTAATGCAGTTTAATAAAATTGTATATTTTACACTTAGCTGGCCATCAGATTGTTCATTTTCTCAAAACAACTGCTCCGACTTATAAATATTTTAATATTATGTAAACAATCAACAGACCTTTCACTCAACATCATTGTATTTATTTATGTTTGTGCATAAGTTAGTGAAAAGTTAACCCACATATTGATTCAGTGTTGAACCATAAGCCATGTAGTACAATCAAATATGATATGAAATTATATTTCACCACTCTCCTAAACTCCAAGATACTACAATGACAAAAAAATAATAGTAAAATAGTGACACCTATGATGTATAAAATTGTGTGTCATTGTTTTTTATTGTTACCCACTATCAAAGCTTTTATCATCAAAAAAGTTATTATATGTAGGGTACTTAAATATAGTTACTCTTCTTTTACTAAAATATAAATGTCACAGTGGGGAGGTGATGCCCATTGTGCTACACTATAAATAAAAATTAAAAAGAACTTACCTGGAAATATTTAGGTAAAACTTCCATATCATTCTTCTTATAGAAATGTTTTGGATCCAGTGCTGATCTCATTTTGAGGATTTGCAGATCATTTTTCAGTTCCTCTGTTATTTCAGGAGCTGGTAGATTAAACCATTGTGGACCTTTAGTCTTCTCATTTTCTTTCTAATATTAGAATATAAAAAATTCTTAGAAACTCACTAAATATTGATTGAAGGAAAATAATTATTAGAATAAAAACTACCTATAGCTTCCTCTACAATAAATCAATCACAAATTTGTATTTTTTTTTTCAATTAGATGTATAGCTACTACTATAATCAAAGCAATATAATGGAGACCTTATTAAGCAAAATAATTGTTCATTAAAAAATTGTAGTTTAATATATTATTACATATTAAAATTGTAATAGTATAAGAAAAATTATGCATATGCCAACCAATACTGAATGGCCTGGTGCTTTATAACTTTGAGTATAGAATATATATAATAGAGTATGTATATTGAGTATATAAAATGGAATAGCTCATAAATTAACCAAATAATGTGTATGATAAGTAAAGACATCACAAATACAGAATTGTTTCCTGCAGTCAAACTAAGCCTCAGCTTAACAGCAACTACTATGTGGTTGTACCCTACTCATGCATAAACAAAATATCTCATTTGGAAAGTATACACTATATCCTGAGGAGATAAAAACCATCACTGTTAAGAATATCCTTAATTCTTATCTGTCACGGGTCTAGGTAGCAAACTATACAGGTCTTACTGCTACAGGGTTCTTAGCACCAGATTATGGCCCAAAACCTTCAATTATAATAATAATAATGTTTCCTGCTTACCTTCCGCAATGCTTTCAATGCCCTTTCAGACAAATTATATTTTGATAATCGGTGCTCTTTCTCTAGTCCTGGTTTCAACACGGAATTGAGCATTTCTTTCTCCACATCTACTTTTCCAAGTCCAGACTTCAGCTTGCCAGTCTCTGTGTCCACCTGTTCGAATCGAAATTTAACACGCCTCTCTCTTTTAATTGCAACTTTGTGCGTCCATTGCATTTCTTGGAAAAAATCATCAAATAAATTATCAATTTTTAAACCCTTTAATTTATTCTGGACTTCGTCTTCAGCTGCTGATTGTGTGTCCAATTTTTCTTTCTGCTTTTCAAATAGTTTAAGTATAGCTTGCTGTTTGTCCTCTTTGTCTGGAAATTAGAATGAATTTTAATATATTTCTTTATGCATTTAGCAGAATAATGCATTGGCATTAGCGCAGGTGGATATTTCTAATAATGAAAATAGGACCCGCTAGTCTCCCATTCCAACCTGCTTTCTGAATTAACAGTAATGTGTGGGAAGCAGTCACTAGTTTAATAAATAGACCCAGCTCTGTTGTTCGTACGTATTGAATCAAATTGAGTAATGAAGCGAAAGTGTTTTAAGACTTTACATATAAATTGCGGACGAATTCTCTGGCAATAGCGAGTTTTATAAGTAAAATTGTCATTTCAGTCATGTGGTACTTAGAGTTCAAATCATTTACTTGTATAATAGAAATTTCAATATAGTAAAACACACTAATAATAATGGAATAATATAATAGTAAAAAAATATAGTTTTGTTAAAAAAGTTCAAAAACTAACCGACGAAATAAGGTTTTTCTTTTCCATCCAGTAGTTCAGTTTTTAGGTTAAGTTGATCGTCACCCACGTTATCTATTATAAAATCCATTTTAGACTTAACAACTAGAGCTAATACAAATAAAAATATATAATTATTTTATAAAAAACAACATATTGTGTTTAATTAAACGAATTATTCTATTTCGGCTATTTCCTGTATTTATTTATACAAAATAAATTAAAAACCAACAGAAGCAAAGTTAACCACTGCTCAAAGCATCTGTTTATTCTTTGTATTATTCTGTGAAACGACTCTTTATTGACTGACATTTGAATGATTGATACTGACTTTAAAAAAGTAGAAGTCAATAATATTTTTTTCTTAATTCTTTATTCATGACCATGGATACAAGCCCAAAAGTCAAACAGATTTTTATACATGAACATTGAAACTTAGAAATAAACAAAAGTCAGTATTATCAGTTGATCTTACGGTATTTCTCAAATTTCATTGAAAATCCTATTAAAATTAGAAGTAATATCTCCTTTTCAAACTTCAAAAAATTCGCGAAGTCTATGAGCTATTTTCTATAGGTAGCTACTAGTTTTTGTAGTTTTGATATTTCGCATGTATGTAAAACTGATAAACCGCCGCGACACGACTTTTTTAAAGGTCTATCTGACAGGTCTTCTTCTTTTTTATGACCTAGAAGTAGAATGTTTACAATTTAGTATTACTAAACACTAGACACAAACCACAAAATATTTAATTTATTGGTTAGTGTCTAGTGTATTTAGTATTTATTTCTTTATTTACATTCCGGAATGTTACCATAATGGTTCACATTATATCAATATAGCCGCACTATGGACCCCGATGGGCATACTCGTGTAAGATGAACATGACAGTAGCATTAATAGTATTTAATATACATTAATTATTATTTTTCCTGATTTATGTACAGAAATATACTACTTTTTCTTGTAGAAGAGATTTATTTTGCCAAATATACATTCTAAATCGACACGGCAGTTGCTTAAGTAATCATTAGACGACTCTGGGTGCCGCTGTAAAACTTGGGATTGAATTTCCAATTAAAAATGCATTGTTTTTGTTATTCTGAGCTAATATTATGCTCAGAATAACAAGTAACGTTTATTGTGGAAAGAAATAGAGGTAAAATGTTTTTGAAATTATCAAAATATTCACTTAGGTTTGAACTGAATTTGTTTTTGTTACTAATAACCATTCTAATAGTTGATTTGGATAATGGAATAAATAGCATTCTGCCAGCTGTTACCACGAATAAGATAATATTATGTAACGAAGGATCGAGGATCTTATGAAGGTCGAACTGAATATATCTGAACATTAGTAATGACTTGGTGGCGTAGAGGTTTAGCACATCACTTTCCTCCCGAAGGTTTGATTCCTCGCATGGTACAAACATTTGTATTCACGAGTATGATTGTATCTGTATTTATAAAAATATATCTAAGTAAATATTTACATAAATATATCAGTTGTCTAGTACCCATAACATAAGCTCTGCTTCGCTTAGGCCAAGGTGGCGGTGTGAATTGTCCAGGGCAGCTAACAATTCTCTTATTTTATTTAGTTAGGATCAGCAACAATCGTCATATTATACAAATTTATTTATTTACATATAATGGTTTATGATCGAAATATACAATGATTTATAAGTAACACAGAATGCAAAGTAATTTACAATAGCTATATAAAAAAAAACTGGACTAATGTTTTTATTATTATCCTGCTTCTGTGTGTGTGAATATAATGAATATCCTTACTAATATTAAAAATACGAAAGTAACTATGTTTGTCTGAACTTGAACCAATTTAAATAAAATTTGGTGCACAAATAGTTTAGACCCTGAGAAAGGACCTAGGACTACTTTCTAATGGGAAAAAAGGGTTGTGAGGGGTTGAAAAGATAGATAAAAATTTATAGCTAAAACTTTTTTCTTCGGGTTTTTGGGGTTAGTTTATTAAATACCTTAATAATCCTTATTATTAATATTATAACTGCGAAAGTAATTCTGTCTGTTCATGGATCTCGCTTTCAAAACTAATGAACCGATTTGAATGAATTAGATTATTGAAGAAATTTTCTTTATTTGGTTAGGACACTATAACACGCGGACAAAGTCGCGGGCACAGCTAGTTAGTGTGTATTTCCATTATAGAGCTATAAGTAACTTATACCTTGTATTTTTTGAGTTATCTGTGGAGTGCGAGTCTTAAGTGTGTGGTGCTTGAAGAGCGGGCGGTCGTTATGGCGCGGAAGGTTTTCAAGTATACATGCTTCTGAAAGCAAAGTCATTGAGGCACTGTAAAGAGTCTCCAAACATTTTTATAGAATGTAAATGTCTTCTTAAGGCCGCCTTCATACTTGTACGTTTTTCATAATAACTAAAATTACGATGTTTATGTTCATGATATAGTGTAAAAAATACACAGTTTAATATTTAAGTTTGGTGTTTAATTAAATCTAAACTATACTAACTAAAAGTTATATATATTTTATATATTCCTACACAAAAAATAACGTCATTCATATTATTATACTGTGAAAGTCTTTATAAAATGTCTTCTGAGGTACCTTAGTCTCAGGTATTTCAGCTGCCAAGCAACTTGGTTTGTGAGCTGCTTTTTATAATGTTTCGGACAGCATAAGATTTCAGTCCTCTTGAATGGCAACGCATGAGTAAGACATCATGTTATCACATGCACCACATGATAACCTCATGTTTGTAATGCTGTTCATGTATAAAGGTGGTGGTTATGACTTACCATCATTCTTACAGAATTGAGTGCCATTTCAATTCTGTAAGAATAAAACAAGGCTTATCTTAGCCATTACGAATAATGGCAAGAATTTATATTTCACTCGTGTCACGGATTAATTTGGTTTTTACCGGTGTTTCCATTACTGGAAAGTTAGTTAAGTTTGTACGCACAATATTGGTGTCGACCAGATAGGTAGGTAATCAGATATTTCCTACGATATTTACACCTTTATTTTGAACAGGTTTATTGAAAAGCAGCAGTAATTTAGAATATAAATTCAATTTGCTACTTATGTGGTTTTCATAGGTGCACAGCCTAATTTACAATTTAAATTAGTAACTCCATGAATACCATATAGCGAGAAATTTAATTACCATCCTTTCCAATTTCATTCTAGACCGACTGCAGTATAAATATATGTATGAGATCTGCACGCTTTGTAAGCGCAGCCTGTGAATGACCTCAGGCTCTAAATTTGATTAATCTATGAAGTATTTCATATTTCACTATGAACACTCTTGTTTGTCTATTAAAAAAATCTCAGTCAGCCGCAACATATTAGAAAACACAGAGTATATTTATATTCTGTTTATTTGTATAGTATCATTTATTTGAAAAGAATACGAGATGAGTTTCTCGTTCAGTTCGGAATGATTTCGAGATAAGAAGTACTTATCTCGAAATCATTCCGAACTGAAGGTAGATTTGACATATCATAAGAGTCTGTTATAGACCTACATGAATATCGGTAAATTCACTAGGAATTTATCATAATTTTCAGGGGGTCATCAGTCCACATTACTAACATTTTCCTTTAGATCAGATCAGATTTATTTATTTAATTAGTTGCGTTGCACGATTATGTTATAGCAGCTTATAAGTAGATACTTTATTAAACTCATACACAATATGCATCTCGTTAAATATAGCATCGATGAATTCAATATTATTAGATACTAGCTGTACCCGCGGTTTCACCCTATATTGTTATAAATTTCATCATAATCTGTTCAGTAGATTTTGCGTGCAAGAGCAACAAACATCCATACTTACAAACTTTCGCGTTTATAATATTATTAAGATATTATATTATATAATATATTAAATATTTATTATACATATATTATATTAAACACGCAATTTTAAATGAACGTCGAAGTCGCAGAACGTCGAATAGTTAGTGTATTTATATAGATGATATAATATATAGGTTATACACACCACTACTAAGCAGTCCATTCGTTTGCCTAGTAATAATACTCGTAATAAAATAAATAAATAGATTTTGAGCATGTTTCCTGTTTTATTTTCAATATATATCGAAGCTTTTCTACTGCAATGTTTATTTACTCATGTGATTCCTACTACAACTGCCTGCATTATATGCGATCATACTTGTAAAAATATATTGCTTTGCAAATATTCCGCTATTCCCTATTCCCAGAATGCATCTATGCTGTCGGATATTCAGTAACATGTCTGTGAATATGTTTATATTCCCCGAAGTGTATGAAAGATGTAGATTAATTTTGTAGTTGTTCTATTATATATAATGGTAGAATTTTGCTATTCCAATATTGATACTATTACAGTTCTTATTGTTGTTGTTCCATCCGTACGATCCCCTGTCCACCCCACTGATCGTCCCAATTCAAACGGGCATCAAAATTACGGCGGCCTGAGCTGCGGTTCGAACCCCTAGCAATGCCCTGAGACTGAAGTCGTATCCGACAGACGGGAGTTGGCCCTCAACCGCTCCATTCCGCGGGTTTGGAGTGCCATCTGCACTCGCCCCCTATAGTCCGGTGTGTCGAAGCTGTAAAGGCCAGCTGCGGCAAACAGCATTAGAGTAGTAGTTTATCTTACTCGGTAATAATCTGTTTGTAATGAGACATAACGAGTTTTGTTACAGGGAAAGTATTCCAAATTCACATATACTTAAATTATCCGTAGTAATATTTTAAATGAGAAAGTAACTCAGTCTGTCTGTCTCTTTCTCGCTTTCACGCTAAAACTACTAGCAGATTTAAATGAAATTTGTTACACAGATAGTTTTGAAAAAGGATGACAGACCCTGAGAAAGGAGGTGAAATTTTGTATCGAAATATCATCACTTTTTTCAGATAAGATACAACCTATGTCGGAACTCGTGATACAATAAATCTTCACATCAAATTTTAATAATGAAGAGGTCAAAAACAGACAGATAGATAGACACGCTTTAACATTTATATGTATAAGAATGGATTAATAAATCCAGGACTAGGTACATAAGTTTATACCATTGCTGGAGGAAATTCTATCGATTATGTAAGACATCAAAATGGAAGAATTGATAAAAAAATCCGAGTTTGAATTGAATTGATTTTCCGAGTTGGTTGTAAAAATATATACCTACTCCATTCCTATGCAGTAAACAAGTTATTAGAGCGGAATCATAAATTGCTTCTATAATGGGA